GAGGAAAAAAGGTTCTTCAATCACAATTGTTGATGGTTTAGGTTTCTTGTAATTGCGCAATAAATCTGTTTGATCGAATCCTCCTAGGTAAGGAAGTTTTTTTTTTCTTTTTGAGAAAGGCTTTCAAGAATGTACTACATGTTAAGAAGAGATAGAGAAAAGTAACAAGTACAAAATTTCTCTCTCCAACGAATGAATCTCTATGTTTATAATTTTGGAAAACATAGAGAAGTATATAGCACCAAAGATTCCTATTTTGGAATCTCCACTTCGTTTGGTTGAATCATATTATACAATTTTTTCATCAAAGGCTCATGAGTTGACTTTCCTCCTTGTAATATATTTTTTTGAAAAGATTGTACTAGATAATGAATTACTAAAGGAAACGAAATGAAGAAAGTAAGTTAGAGAATAAAAGACCTGTGTGTAGATATGATCAGGTCGACTAGCAGAATTGTTGAAAGTGAGAAGAAGATAATCAGTGCCCCATTTGAGAACATCTCTCATGTGATCATACTCATTGATGGCTTTGAATTTGTGACTATACTCAATGAGACTCCAACTTAGCATTGTCATTGAGAATGCCATCGGAAAATGAAATTTGGCGTTGCTTCCGCCGTCGTAGTAGCCTCCGACCAATCCTCCGGCCACGTCCGGCAATCCATCTTTTAGTCCCGAATCTCCCCTCCATGAAACCTTATTTTTCTTCGGAAGTTTACCCGCTACATTGTAAATTCATTAGTCATCAATACTATTGTTCTATAGACATGTCAATCACGAAGAAATTATTTGAATCTGACCCTAATATATATAATCTGTCGTAAAAGAGATTATCGGTTTGATCTTATTTTGTTCACCTCAAATTTGATCGGACCTCGGACTTTTTGTTCCTAGTCCTATCTTATTATTATCATGCATAATTTTTTTTTTTTTTTGAAACTTATTACCATGCATAGTTGATAAAATATAGGTTAATTTGCTTAATAACCCAAAAAAATCATATATAAATAAGTAACCAAAATGGCTCCATGTGACTAAATAATAGCCATTAGATTTAGGGTATTTAGTTACTTATTTAGATATGTTTATTTTTGGATTATTAAGCCAATTAACCTAAAATATACTACCATGTTTTTTTTTTTTAACCTTATATACACTACCATGTTGTTAGACAAAATATGAAACTAAGACATTGTGGCTCGACATACTAGTGTTATTCAAGTGATTTTTAAGTCGATTTGATCTATATGAGTTTGAGTTTATTCCTAGAACTGATTCTCTATTTTATATTCGATTTCAAATATTCTTTCATAAAATTATAGCGAACTAAAAAAATCTTAATTAAAAAATAAAACAATACTGTCTGTTGATATTTTGAACTGGTATTAATAAAATATTTATATTGTTTTTAATGATTATAAACGATCATTTTTTATCAAGTGAATTGTGGTTTTAACCCGTCCGATATGGTAATTACCGTAATTTAGTACTCCAATCTATAAACATACGCCCCTTTACTTTCCACTTCAATTTTAAAAACCTTTTTCTAATTTTCACAGAGATACCGAGTATTAAAATAAAAAATAAAAAATGTAGGGAAGACCACAAATCCCAAACGAGCGAGGCCTTGGATTTTTGTTATGAAATTCTTTCAACACAAATATCAAAACCGCGTCAAATATTCTTAGGCCATTGGAAAGCCAAATTAAATGAATATGTGAGAGAGCATTACCAAAAGCCAGCTCAGAAGAACGAAATGGGAAAATGCGAGGGTACACGTAATTAGTCGGATAAACGTGCTTCAAACAGATTTTGGTATTTTATTGGAATGTCAACGTATTGTGTAATCTTCTTCTAGTGTATTTGATCATCTAAAGAACGTTTATTTTTGTATCATTAATTTTTTTTAAATAACAAATTAATGCGCTTGTGAACAATGAACTATTCAAAGTTCCCAGGCAAAGAAATATGACTTTTTATCATCTCATTAAAAAATTATCATATTATCAACAAAAGACCAAAAAAAAAATACTACATCATATTGTAGATATATATTAAATTTCTCGGCAAGTGTTCAACTTTTTCTTTAATCTTTTGAGAATCTGGTTTTCCTAGATTGACAAATGTTCACAATATCCATACATTGAAATACATTTTCTATTGTGAATCGTGGGCTAGATATTAGTTTTGCAAGAATTTATATATGTAACACCATGAAATAAAATTTCGACAACAATAAGGAAAAGAAGACTTACATTTCTGCGCATCGAAGAACTGAATAGCCTTGTGGAGGGCAAGAGTGTAATTATCTGGTGGAGAAGGGGTAGACTCGTGACCAGGAAAAGACTTGACGATGATGATCGGAAGAGCAACGACAAGGAACAAGACGACGATAGATCCAACGGTCCACATAAAGACCGTGCGGCTCACGGAAACACAACCTAGGTTTACATACTTTTTTCTCTTCTTTCTCCAGCTATCTTCCGGTGCAAGCAACCAGCTCTGTTGCGTCTCGTCCAATTGGTTCCTCTCGCTTTCCGCGGTTAGCCGCTGCGAATGGAGGGCTCCTCTGTCCCACTCCGTCATGTTCCTCCGCCGCTCTTCCTCCTCCGCCGCTACTCGGTCGCTGTCTACGGCGTCGAGGCTCCCACCCCATAGATTCCCCGGATGCATTTCTAGTGAGATTTTTGGAATTGGTTGATTAGGTTACTTTGGAGTAGAATTTAAAGAGTTTTGGTCTTTCCTCAAAAGAGAAGAAGCGTAATGAATTTGATTTATGATAGGTGAGAGGGATTTATTAAAGTGTCAGTTGACTAAAATGGTTTAGGAAATGGGAAAGGAGGTGTTTCTGTATTTTAGTCGAGAATCGAATTTTTTTATATTTATTACTTTTAATCATTCTTCAACACTTGTTTCAAAGAATTCCGCTTTTGATTGCTTTTGCTATATTGAGATCAATTACAAGTTCTTTTTTTTGGGTCACAAGATTGATTACAAGTTTAATCGAACAAAACCGGATTATAATTAGCTGTCTTCTTTAATATGGTCCCATTTCTTCCGAACAAAATTTTAAAATTCTTTGAAAATTAAGGAAATGCGACTCAGTAACTTAATATCAACAGATAATTGCAAAAATGTTACTTTTGGTGTTTCAAAAATAACACTAATTATGGATTTT